AATAAACTTATTTCGATTTTACTACCTAATTAAGAAATAAACAGACAAATTCTAAATCCAACATTAGAATATAAAATTAACAATAGTGACGCAAACATATCGGAAATTATTTTCAATATATAGCAAGTTTCTGCATTTCATGATTGTCAAAGAAAGTCATAAATAGAAATCTTTAGAAAAACATGTAAGAATTTTGTCAACTCAGATGATTTCTCCCCATCTTTATTGTAATCATTATAATTCAAGGCTTGTAAACACATCATTCACTTTCTTGTTGACAATTTTCCTTCATATCTTGTTTTCTCAATATCTTTTATGATATGCGAGGATACATGATATTTCGATCGCTACTCCATTAAGGACGGACATGCTTTTAGCATCGTATACTTTAATTCGATTTAATTATCCATTGACTAATCTGAATGATATTAGAAGATTGTCACGTTCATAGCATGTTTGCGCAAGATATGATGACAAGGCTCATTAAATCAGGAACTCTTACTATCAAATATAAGCTCTTCAACTTAGTAACATATATTAATTAAGTAATGTTCGTGTTGCTTAGTCTTTAGTTTTTTATGTTGTGTCATCTGTACTATTATTTGTCTGTTTGACTTTTTGTTTTTGGCCATGGCGTTGTCAGTTTGTTTTTGATCTATGAGTTTGACTGTCCCTCTGGTATCTTTCGTCCCTCTTTTATTACTCCTAATGGCAGTTCAGTTAAATAAACAAATTACAACAGCAGTAAACATGTAATAAAATTCTCAAATCTTATTTCGATACATGCACTACTGACTCACAGCCACAAAGCACACTGAATAATACTCAAAGGACAATAAAAACATATGTGTAATAAAGGGATATTGAATCATCTTGCTTTGGTTATGACATGATTTATAGCATATCTTTATAAAATTCCCCGTTGATAATTTTTTTTTTAGAAACTATGATTCCAACTGCCTCAAGCAAAGTTAACTTTTGCTCCCTTTGGCTATTCTTTTTATGTCTCTTTTGGTAATTTAGCTAGAACTTTTGTTTATATTCTTATTAAGTAACATTCCAGCAGCGCCTGTATATAGAGTATACATCTTCAGGTCGATACGATATTCCAGAGCTTGCATTTCCTTTCATAATTTGTTTCATTTTCATAGAGGGTTGCTGCTTACAAGGATCTGCTTACCCTTCCGGAGCACCTGAGATCACCGCCAGTTTTTGGTGGGGTTCGTGTTGCTTAGTCTTTAGTTTTCTATGTTGTGTCATCTGTACTATTATTTGTATGTTTGTCTTTTTATTTTTGGCCATGGCGTTGTCAGTTTGTTTTTGATCTATGAGTTTGACTGTCCCTCTGGTATATTTCGTCCCTCTTTTACAAAAAGCTATTACCAAGTTTTCAAAGTGGTGAAGTAAATATCATCCTTTCGGACATTTTACGGATGTCATCAAGATTTGGAATGCTTTTTTTCACAGATGACGATGGATATGTTCCAATTGTCGTAACCACATACACCTTCTGTTCCGCAAAGGTGACCTTCCGAATCAGATTTATCACCGGATGTTTACTTACATAAGTAACACATAATGGATGCCACGTGTGGAGTACGATCTTCTTACCCTTTCGGAGCACGTGAGATCATCTCCGGTTTTTTGGTTGAGTTCGCGTTGCTCAGTCGTTGGTTTTCTATGTTGTGATTTGTATACTGTTGTTTGTCTTTGATCGTTTTCGTTTTCGGTCATGGCATTGCCACTTTGTTTTCAATTAACGAGTTTGAAAGTCCTTTGGTATCTTTCGCCTTTTTTTTTAAATACCTTTCGTTTTGTTGTACGAAATATTATTATTTCTTATTCTCTTTTTACAGTTTGTTTGGTATATTCTGTAAGGTTAAAGGTATGTAATGGCCGATCTCACGGATTTTAAGAAATTTTGCATCCAACTGGAACATGAAAAATTCCATAAGAATATCGAAAGATGATATATGTTAGTCGTTTACTATTTGAGATACAGCAAATTAATTATCAGGTAATCGAAATGCATATGTACAGAATACATGTAAATATTGCAAACAGATTCAGCAATTTGGACTTAAGATTACTTTTGTCTCTAAATCCTGTCCTACAAATGTAGTTCTTCTTCTAGATAAAGATTGTCTTAGTCGTATTTTGCACATTTTCGACGTATAGAATTTGTCATGCTCCTCCACTTCGTATTTGATTTGGCATTCCAACTTTTTCGAGCGCCACTGGTTAGTCTTATGTATACGAATATGTTCGGCATTCCAAATTATAAGCCTGGTTTTTTAGTGAGTGTATACAAACTCGCTTTGAAAATGATATAATATTTTCTACTAATGAATTTACATTTTCTTGATATAAAACATTTATAGTGGTCACCAATTTCTTTTTTTTTATATGAATTGTTGATTCTTCTGTACAGCGTATGAAAAGCGTGGAAAAGGCAAAAGTAAGCTTGACGACGTAACTAATTTGTGAATCGAAATCTTAATCTCGAAAACACTCATGCAATATTGGTATCCAGTATATTGAAGATTCAGATCCTAATCCTTGGTTTAAATTCAAAAGGAACATTAAATGGACCTACGATTGTCTATGATTTCCATTTTATGCATTTTGTTGGAGTATGGATTGGGTTTCCAGGTAGATAGATACCCAATTCACTTATCTATCCCTCAATAGTGTCATGTTCATGCAACAGCGATAACGCTATAGGCTTAGTCAAGAGGTACAACAGCAATCCAGCTACATTTGGGTTTTTGAAGATATATGTATACGTGGCATTAGTGTAGATACACCAGTTCAGCCTCATTGGTTTGTATAATAAACGACCATCCAGTTTTAACCCATTCGGAAAGAATATCTAGCCTACACTGTTCATTTCACGTTTTATGAGCTTGAAGCATTGGTAAACTACCGTTCTGATTTATTATGTATCTTCAAATCATTTATATTAGACTTTTAAAGGGCTTGATTTTTTAATTTCAGATGTTTTAATACGTTTTGGTTTCAGCTATCTGAAAGTACCAAAGGGTTTTGTAGTAGACACAACTACTTCGCCTGAGTTTTACTCTCCTCCAGCAAGAGTCCTCCATTATTGTATGGAATGTTCAAACATGCAACCTGTCCATCGGAAAGATTTTAAAATGTGGTCAATGTTAGGAGGATAATCATGCTCCAGCTTGAAAAAGACCTTACAATCATCCTGATTTTCCGAGACTAGCCTTGCCCGCATATGTTATTGTAGTAGTCAAAATTGTAGTCACTTCTCGTTATCCTGAGTAGTAAAAAATCAACAATAAATCAATCAAGCAATAGCTTATATTGTACCAGAAATGTAATCACAGAACCAAGTGTCGTGTACCCAAAAAACATGTTTCAATGCTTATCTGTAAATCAAATTAAATATATAATGGGCCAACAATTATATCAAAATATCTTTGATTCAAATTATAATATAGAAGTTTTTTAAGTTGCATAGGTTTCAAAAAGCATCTTAACTACACTTTATGACAAAACACAAAATGCTGACCTATTACAAAGATCTTGCTTGATGCATTATTTTGTTATGTGTTACCTTAATAAGGTTATGAAACATATAGATATCATAAATGTCACTTAACCCATTGTTTGAGTGACATAAAGACTGTGTTAAACTTATAAGGTTGGTTATTCGAACGTCTACAGATTAGATTGGATTCCATTTGTCATTTTGATTTTACTTCTTTACGATTGTAAAGACAATAAAATATAAAGTAATCAAGATATTATTGTTACACGACAGAAAGTTTTAAGGGATTTACACCTAAAACCTAATAAGACACAATTCAAAATCTAACACAGGATTCAGTTTTCTACAAAGATTATGGATCAGGTAAATATAAAAAGAAAAGAAAAAGATCCTTCTTGGGTTAAGTGTTAAATATGATATCATCATGGGTGTTGTGTAAAACATGTGACTATAATTAAACTGAAAAAACTGAAATTAACCACAAAGTTTCCAGAAATTATTCACAAATTTTGAAATTCCAGATTATTCAGAAAGGAACAATTTTGTTGTTGTGTCCATTTGCGCCCACCATTGCTTTAGATCAGTTCACATTAAAAGCCATGTTCGTAAAGAAATCAAGTTTTGTACCAGAATTTGACCAATGATGAATTAACGATGGTACATTAGGAAGAACAAAGTCACTCGAAGTTTAAATAGGAAAGTAATGATATTATGACTTTAATTGTAACCGAAGTTTTAAAATGAGGTGTTTTTTTAGGTGATCAGGACTTATTGTGATTTAAATTGAACTAAAAATATCACTCATTTGGCAAGTTATCCACAAGGACGCTATTCATTATTATTTCACATGAAATATTCTAGTAAACTAGTAAACAGAAGTAATCAGAAAAAGTCAGAACAATATCAGAAAAGAAAAACCTTCTTCAGATAGTACCATTGCTTTCCTCTAAATATTATTAACGATGACAACAGCAGGTAAGTCATCACGGAAAATTCAATTGCGCGTTGTTCGGACGTACTCATTTAATGTTAACACATCAATACCATACATTTATTTGTGCAATAGATAATCTAGATGCCCAAAATATCATTAAATCTATTAACAGTTAATTGTATTTGTTTTAAGGAGAATATTGATTATAAATTAACCTGAACGGGCGTAATTTCGTTATTTGCACACTTAAACAATATGTTTGACTAAAAGAACAAATCAAAGCAAAAAAACAATAAAAACATCTTATGCCAAAGTTGCAGTTTATGATATTCCAAATATCCATAAAGGAAGAGAATAATACGTTTTGAAAAGTCATATTTTATGTTGATGCTGATCGCTACTTATTAAGAGCATTTTGCTTTTCTATCTTTTTTTTTAAATGCCAAGCCTGTATCTTCTTCGTACTGTAACGGCGGATTTTTAATTATATTTGTGACTTGCTGTATTCTGGGCTCTGTTCTGGATTTCCGTTAAACAATAATGATGTAATTTTAAATATTTAATAAGAAAAATAAATTGACACAATCATTTATATTGGTACAAGTTCAGCATTATGTATCATAAGTCTCTTCACAAACTACACATCATTGAAACACCCATGTCAATACAGCAAGCAGTGGTACAAAAACCATCGAGGAATACATAACTCCACTGTTTTTAGGATTTTCTACAAAATCATAGAAACTGTTTGAATAAGTACAATATGAAAAAAACATATAAATTTTCAGACTAGGCTAACAGTAATGTTTCCAAAACACATTTCTTGTGAATAATTCAAATTACTCATATTATATGAAGCATCCATTATGTGTACATGATCGATTGTGCGTAAAGTAGCTGTAGATAAAAGCTGTTCTTAGCTAAAACTATCTTCAATTAGTTAAGCTAAATTTAGTTTGTCATATATTTCATATAGTGATCTCATTATGCTAACGTTTTTCTCTTTGTAGGCAGTGTGCAATTTAACATTTTGTTTTGTAATACAGATACGTTGTAAGTACTGACTGTTAAGGCTTGGTTTTTAGTTGATGTAATGCGTTATTCACAAGCCCAGTGCCTTAATTTACACATCCTCTAATTTCCAATATTTCTCTAAACAATAATTTATTCTAAGAATAACAACATCTAATCTTATCCAACACGTAGAGAAAAGACCATATAACAATAACAAAAGAACCCTCCGAAGTGTTTTACATTAGAAGTTACATCTAGACATCAAATTATTTTTTAACACAACACTTAATAACAAACGTCATGATTTTTCTTTCCAAAAAGTAAATTCTCTCTTCTGAGTAGCAGTATACCTGCATCACATGATTTCACTGTTGGTTCACTTTTCAAGAATTTGTGTCCATTATGAGAATGTCCTTGTGAAACTATCACATAAACGGTCTATTCTGGTTTGTTTTCTGCCTAAACTACTTTCTAGCTACAAACATTTCCTGGTCTCTGTCGTCACTAGATTTAACTTTATCAGGTGAATGTGATAAAATTACTCACAAACACTTGTTCCGAATGTTATACTTTCTCTTACTGATATTAATCCTCGCTGAATTTGACTCATTATCGACTTTATACCACTACGTAATAGGACAGGTATTACATAAGCAGTTCATTTTCAAATTAGGGAGCTACCATTTGATTTTTATGTAATCTCTGTCCTGCCTTTTTATTTTTCACTCTATTCGGTCCTGCCTTTTTTTTTATTAGTTTATCCTGACTTTTTTTACATAAATTGTCATCCTGCCTTTTTTTTTTTCCAAGTTGCTCATCCTGCCTTTTTTTTTACCCAAAACTCCTGTCCTGCCTTTTTTTCAAATTTCATCCTAGCCCTCCCCCCCCCCCCCCACCCCCCCCCCCCCCCCCCCCCCCCCATAAAAATCAAATGGTAGCTCCCTTACAATCGTTCAATGTAGAAATCATTTGACTATAAGATATGAATGCAAAACCGGCTGAAATTGTTGTCGTACATGACAGCATAAGCCAAAAGTCTCTCACTTACTCAAAATTTACTCAAATTTTCAATTTTTTTTCGTAACTTGTGTACTATAATTGTTACCCTGTTTATTTTCTAAAAATTACGAAAAAGAACATTTTACCGTTTAATTACGACAAATTAAATATCTACATAGCAGTTTCACCTTACCTTCAATTCTCGAAGCTTTGATCTGTATTCCTTTGTTTTTGTCTGTTTGTACAATGTAGGTTATTCCTTCATATTCACAAAATATTTCAGAATCATTATCTACAATATATATATAGCTTAGTTAGCCAAGATTCCATAAAAGCATGGATTCTAATCCCGCTGAGGGAAGATCAAAAATAAGGTACCTTAAATATTCAGGTCTTTAATTTGGGTGCTTTTCAGGCATAATTTACAATATTATGTTAGCATAGTTTATAGTATAGCCGATAACAATGATGTATTACGACTCAAAGCGAGATAACTTAAATTTGTATGCATTTTCTTCCTTGTGTCCTCCCCTTGGTGCGTATCATTTATAAGGAAAGTATAATACATGATTTTCTGTATGAAGAAAAACACTTACAAAACAGAAAGAATGGACATGTCTAACTTTGATGTATTTTGTCTTTGGGTTGCTGTTTCATAGACATATACCCCAAAGCTATTTTATTCATATTGATCCTCTTCGATATTTCAAATGAAAATAATTAAAATACAATCCATAGATAAATCATGCTACCCTTAACCGCAAAATAAATTGCGGCAAAATAGGCTTGAACCCCCTCCTATTCAGATGATCCCCCAATAATCCCACTTTATAAAACAATTCTTTATTTGCGCCTGCGTACTTTAGTAATTGGATATTGAAATCAACTATTTACATCTTTCATTAATGCGTGCTTAATTAGAAATTGAACATATTGTGAAAAAAGAAGAAAACATACTTTGTGAATCTGTCTTTTCTACGTCGTATACAAGGTTGACATTAATCTGACTACATTGTTCTTGGCAACTTTTATCGCTTTTGGAGCTGTCAGACCTCGTCATCATACATTTAACACATTCTTTGTTGGCATCACACGTATTACAATTCTAAAGCAATAAATAATAACATTTCTTACTATTTGCATTAAATGTATTTTAGAACCTAAACAAATGTGTTTACCTTGTACACGTAGACTGTTTATCACGAATAATTACGGCCTGCATACAAATGCAATGCGCGCAATGCTGGGTCTACTTAATATTCATCTCCGCTGTAACTTTAAAAAACATTAAAATCAAATTTGAATGCTATCAACACCAGGACTATTTTCTGAATCCAAAATGAAATATCTGTTTTAAGTATACTCTCTATTTTGTAGTCAAATATTGACTGTTGGTATTCTTTGTTCATAAAGCTACACGATAACCATTGCAAAAATGTCTAATTGAAATAAGAAAAGTGACTACAGAGCATCAAATGAATACCTTTCTGACTATTTCTTTTTGGTTGAATTATACACATTAAAACAAATGCTATGGGAGTCTCCTTACATTTAAACGTTGATAACTTATTTAACACTACGGTGAAAATATAAACGAGGACATGGGTTAATCAAAATATTTTTTTGGGGGGACTAGACACTTTAATGGCATGGATTGTATTCTACTCAACCTCTTGTACAAAGTCCAATTAAGTGTTTAAAACGTTTTAATATTTGACCAAACACAGACGCTATGGACTCTCGTCCTGTCCACTAACCACCACCAACGATGCACATACATCATGTAGTATCATTCTTCAGACAAGTAACTAACAATGTTGTTTATATATTAATTTTATGACTATGACGGCTCATAGCCGGAAGTGGATACATCGATAATCCAAACTACAAATCAAGAAACTATTAATGACGTCCTTCAAAAGAATTTGAATTACAATCACGTCAGTTCAGTAAAAGAGCGGCGAAAGATACCAAAGGGATATTCAATTTCTGGAGTCGAAAACAAACTAGCAATGTCATTTTTGAAAATAATTTAAATGGATAGCTGGCTAATATGGAGTTACATATCCATACACATAATTATGTTAATGCCACATATCCGAGCCGACTAGACTTTGCTCTAACTATACTTAACCCCGAGTCGTCTGCTTACCGGGAAAGCAGCAAATACAAATTTTCAAGTCTTCGATTTGACCCGACCAGAGATCGAACCTCCTGCAGTCGAGACCAGCACGCTACCATGACACCACGGATGAGTTAGTTGTAGTAGCGACACTACAAACCATAAGGTGATCATAAGCTGATACCATTAACGAAGGTGATACCATTTATTTTACAGTGGAATTCATTCTGGAAAATTTCCGATGTAACTCACACTTTAACAAAATGCCATTAGATAATTATTCTACAAAACTAAAGACATGATACCATTAACGAAGGTGATACCATTTATTTCACAGTGGAATTCATTCTGGAAAATTTCCGATATAACTCACACTTTAACAAAATGCCATTAAAATAATTATTCTACAAAACTAAAGACATGTAACTATACAGCGCAACTTTTTAATACATAGCATGACTTCTGATAGAATTTTGGTTAAGAGGAAATTCAACGTATTAGTTGGTAGAACAATGGAAACGACCACGGATCATTAAAGGTGGAATAAGATCGTTTTATCTAATCTGGCCTACATAGATAGAATGTACTTGGAAATGTTCATTGTGTTGGGATGAAAAAATTGCAAAGTAGGGATAAAAATTCTCTGTGGTCAAATGAACAAAGTCTGACCGGGCTATTAACGAATAGCCTTGAAGTTTGAAATTACAGTTGTATTTTATGTGTCTATTTAATTATATATCTTATTTCACTTTAAACCTTTTCTGTATGCTTCCAAAAGAAAATGCAAAATTAAGTGATGCAAATGAAGCATTGAAAAATAAAATCATACTTAAACTGAACTTATTCAGAATCATCATTTTGTTTGACATTTCTACATGAACTGTATGTGTGCGTTACAAAGCAAAAAGTCAACATATGTGAAACACATAACATGTAAATACTATACCTTGCATTCTGTACATTTCTCTCCTGTGTATTCTTTGTCACATTTACACTTGTTACACATACATTCCCCGTGTCCTCCACAAGTAGTCTGTAAATATATAATTGATTGATGTTTGATAGCGTCCAGCGCCAACTATCACATGCATTTCCCCGAGGAAAACAAATCTTTTTAAGTATTCCTTGCAATGTGCTGGACCAACTCACTAAGTCCGACTAGCGTTTTAGCTCCTAGGGCAAAACATTGCAGTAAAACATATAACATTACCTGGACGCGTTGTTCTGTCTTCTAATCTGTCAATCTTTACTCTTACTCTTACATTTTGGTTGTGTTCTATTGCATTTCATTGAGATCATGCAGAGAACTCTGTTAAAGATAGGCGAATGATACCAAAGGCACATTCAAACTCACAAGTCGAAAAAAAAACTGACAACGCCATGGCTAAAAAGAAAAAGACGAACAAACAACAGTACACAAAACACAACATAGAAAACTTAAGACTGAGCAACACGAACCCCACCAAAAAACTGGGGGTGATCTCAGGTGCTCCGGAAGGGTAAGCAGATACTGCTCCACATGTGTCACCCTTTGTGTTGCTCATGTTAGCACAAACCTGGTGATAAGCCTAATTCGGTAGGTCACATTCGGGGAAAGGGGGACGGGATTGTAGTTAAGACAATTGGAACATATCCGTTGTCATCTGGGAAATGAATATTCCATAACGGTCAGCCAATTCGTGATGACGTCCATAAAATTTACGAAGGGACGATTTCAACTTCACCACTTGGAACTCTTGGTTTAATCGCATCCTTGTAAGCAGCAATTTTCTATCAAGGAAATCATGATAGCAAATACAAGCCCTGGAATATCATACCAACTGCGATATATATACTCAGTATGCAGGTGCTGTTAGGATGTTGCTAAATAGAAATGGGAAGTTCACAATTGGGACGCTGAAATCATCTCTTTTGTCGTAAAGTTTTGTTTTCAACCGACCATCATTTTCAATTTCTAGATGTAAGTCAAGATATGAGGCCGACTTAACTGTATCTGTTGTATCCTTTATCTCAAGTTCGATGGGATAGATGCGTTCAACATAGTCACCAAATTTTGAATTATTTAGTGAGAGAACATCATCTATATAGCAGAAAGTGAAGATAAAGGATACTGCTAACTTCTTTTCTTTCTTCCTAAGAAGTTCCTGTATAAATTCAGCCTCATATGATTAAAGGAAAAAGTCTGCAAGAAGAGGAGCATAGTTGGTTCCCATGGGAATGCCGATATTTTGTTGAAAAACACGTCCTCCAAAATGATTTGTTTACTCTTCAAATTGAGGTCTTCTTTCATGTCTCTCTTCTCCTCGTTTTAAATATTAATATGTAAATGACATATATCATGATCAATATCATATTTCTACTTGACAGTGATGCATGCTCTTAATTTAAGAGTCAATTATGCATATTATATTGCCTAAATACAGTAACTGCTAACAATAAATTAAATACGTGTAGTCATATACGCATGTTGAAGTGATAAATGAAGATAACACTCCTCAAAATTTGGTGCTTTCGAAGCACTTTCCTGAATGTTATACAGTTCCTTCTTTAGAGACGCTTAACCCTAAAAAAAACTTATAGCAAAAGTTGTAGATACTTAATATACTAAGAGCTATGTTGTATATAATGTCAAAAAGCAGAGGTTATTTTGGATAAACCTGCAAATAGAAACATCACCATTCATTAATTCTATAGGGGCAAACATTTACAGCCTATTTCCTTCTATATTGTTAATAACATTTATTAGAGTAATGTGCTTTTCTTGTACTGATTTTTATTTTATGCTTTGTAAGTACCATTGTTAGTGCAGTAATCAAATTGACAAGGAAGGGGTTAATCAATATATCCCTCACATGTGCCTGTCCCATAAGAGAAACCACCTTATGTCATATCTTATTTTTGTGTTATTTAGATACTTTACGATCTTATGATAGTATCTGATTGTAATCATAGCATTTAAATAATAGATCTAATACGAGATTGACATATTATATAGACACCTTTCTATCGTTGAGGACTGCATGTTGACCCTCTAAATGTTATTTGTTGGGTTACTATCTTATTGACGTATGCACTACATCTCCTTCTTTTGATATATACACATGTTCAACAATAAACATGTCAGTTATCATATTAACAGCAGCTGTTAGAAACTGTATATTTTCAGTTCATCGTTATGGCCAATTTGTTTTTAAAAGATATGTAGTAACTTACTCCATCATTTGCTGTACACATATCTTTTCTTGTTGAACATCCACAGTTTTTGCCATCGAAGTTTTTATAACATTTACAGAATCCACAATCACAGACGCCATGCTCACTGCCTGTAATGAATTATACGAATGATTGTATCAAATAAATCTGTTCTAATCAACACGAACAGTGGTAATCCTTTTTTGATTTTCTAATTCAAATTTCAATTGATTTTGTGTATTTGTATACTTAAGTTTGTTTAATTTATGGATCTATAATTTGAACAGCAGTCTAAATATTTTTCCTTAGAAACTATACCCCCCCCCCCCTAAAAAAAAACTCACACGCGCTCACGCAACTATTAAGCCTACATCACCTATAAAACGGACATATATGATATATATTGAGGTAGTTGTGTTTTGGAAATACAAGCACAACAGCAAGTAACTATTCGTCCATCTGTGGGCCTGTTGAATTAATAATTAAGGTATGAATGATACAAGTTGCCTTTATTTCTTCAATTATGTTCGATTTTAAATCTAATTTATTTAGGAAAATCAAAACTAAACACGTTTAAGACAAGCGAAAGGCATCAACATCTTGGTTTTATTATTCATCTTGATTTTATTATTAAGTATTATTTCACCTATTTGTTTTGCATAATTTCATTTGCTTTGTGGTAAAAATGTCTTTTCTGTTTGAGTATGACCTCGAAAAAAACGACAAAATAATTTTACAATTCTATTAACACTGTCATCAGAATATATACAAAGTAAAATCCTCTTGGACCTCTTGTTGACAAAGAATTGTTTTACATAGACTTCTTGTTGACAAAGAATTGTTTTACATAGACCTCTTGTTGACAAAGAATTGTTTTACATAGACCTCTTGTTGACAAAGAATTGTTTTACAAATACTTCTTGTTCGTTTATATACTGTTTATAAATGTATATAATATACATATACAAATATGGAAAGCGAAAATGCAGCTAAAAATCTAAAACAATCGACTTCATTGTGTATCAATACTAAAATATAAAGTTTATAGAACTTTAACATGCAATGAAAATGACTTAAACGACGCACAATTTATTATTTTATTACTAGTTATATATAATATCTCGCTTTTTTCTCTCTTTCTTCTTTGTTTTGTTTTGTTTGATTTGATTTGATTTTGTTTTGGTTCTGTTTTTGTTCTGATTTTTTTTTCTGTTTCTTGTGGTGTTCTCATTTTTAAGGGGAGAGCGGGTAAAAGTGTATGTGCATAAAATTTTGTGTCAATATATGTTTTATTCTGACAATATTTCCCTGACGAAAATAAAACTGAGTACAATTTGGTGAAATCTCGTTACAAAAATATAAACATAAATGTTATTGTATTTTTATTCTGAAAGAGTAATCGGCACTTAGCCTTCTATACAAAAAAAATATTTACCGCCACAAACAACCCCATTATATGACGGACAACTCGATGGATCACATTCACACCATTTTCCTGTGTATGTCAGTGGTGAATCTCCTCTTCTTGAATTACAATGGCAATTACCACATACACAGTCTCCTCTACCAGAACAGATATCTGTTGATCCTGGACTAGAAATTGATTTATCAAATAAATCACATATCCATAATTATAATGATATATCAAAGAAAACGCAGTCAAAAATTACAACAATATCAAATAAAGTTACGAAAAAAAAAAACAATTGATGGTTCGTGTGTCCGAAATAGGATTTACCTTCGTCAGGAATTATCAAACCTAAACATTTGAAAGCCCGGGATGTTAAAATACGTTTGAAGCAATACTATATATTCGGAGCAATATTATATATTCGGAGCAATATCATGGTATGTATGATGAGTTTATTCATTGACAAAAAGGGATCAACTTTGCATGAGATGTAATATTGTACAGTGACCTATAGTAGCTACATGCAACATCTACGCCATTTGGTCTTTGGTGCATGGATAGTTCAACTTGTCTCATTGGCAATCATACCATATCTCCTTATGTTATTTGATGTAGTTTTGATGTTATTTGAACAGTAATACTCTACATATTTATCCCTGAGTGAAGTTTAAAGAATAACGAAATTGCTCCGCCCTTTAAGTGTGTTTCTGCATAAGGATTCAAATGCAAAAGGTGTAAAAATAGCCAAAAACCGTCTAACGTATAATACCTTACACCAGAAAGCTGTAACTTTATTCTTAAGTGCTTATTAAATAGAACAATTGTTCAACTGAAATGTTAAGAAATAAACGTATTCAACATTAGAGCCAGCGGCGAATCACTGACTACTACATATTCGCAAATACACACTCTTAGACTTCCTGTTTATTGTCGGTGATCAGGTGAAATGGATGAAGCAAATAATTTGGAGAGTTGTCCTTTAAATCTGTTGGTAACTTCATATTAATAATAGATATTGTTATGGTATGATATATTTAATCTTTACGTTCTTGGATAACTATTTATTGGTTGATTTACATTTCAGAATACATACATAGTTAAACACTATCTGTATTCATTGAAAATAATCTAGGGCATTGTTCTGCATCGTTGTTTCTTTTTGTGCAATCTGTGGATGTTTCTTTAGTTATGTTTTTAGGTTGCTTTGTTATTACTAACTCACTGTTGTTATTGGTACTTAGGGCGTTATATTTTATCGAAAGATTTTTATACGTTTTAATCATCTGATCTATTTTTGAAATAACTACTCACAGAATACATTGGCTTATTTCATCTGTGCAGAGCTTACGTCTGTCGGGAAGCTGCAAAGTAAATTACGAAAGAGAAGATGAAAGTATAAACATTTATATGATAATTGTATAACTCTATCTCAACATATATCATAAAAAATCATCTTGGGAGGAGAAACCGCTAAATCCATTAAATTGTTTAGTACTGCTAGCTGTTTATATACCAAATAATGTGAACAACTATTAATTAAACCCTGCACGATTCACTGACATTATAGAATTCTGCGAAATCTAAGTACGTGCCAAACGTTTAGTTGCCTTTTTTCAGTCAATTAAAATAGATATGCAATAGTTTCTGACAAGACCTGAAATATATACGAAAAATGAAATTATATCGTAAAGAAAGACAAAACTGACCTTTGTCACTGGAGGTCATCTCTTTTTGTACAGAAACAACTTATAATTTCTTCAACTGGGGCAAGTGAATTTTTGAAAAAAAAACACCAAGAATAGATCAAATTCCGAAAGATGAACTGCAATGAATTTCATTTCAATAAGCTTTAATTTCCAGAAGTATGCAGATAAAGAAAATACGTGATCTTCTGGTTTGCAAGCACAACTGTTGAAAATGAATAATCAAAATTATATGTATATTGTGCATAAAAGTTCCTCGTTATTTTGTAAAATTGCCCATTAATAAGTTGGCTCAGGAAGTTGCCATTCGCAATTTTAAGAAGTTCAATTGATTTGGAATTATGAATGCCATAAAAATAATAAAAGTTTTTATGTTTTATTGTTTCAGTATTATACATGTCCTGGTTCGTTTTTATCGGATGTATTGTCATACATATTGAGATACATCCACTGAAAGAACAGACCCTAATGGCAAAGGGAACATGAACTCCGTTTTCCATAAATAGTCTTATCAGCAGTACTGGTGATTTTTATTTATGATTGTGAAGCTTCTATATGTTTGATCTAGGTTTGTAATTCTGTTTAAGAGTGTTCATAAAAAAACACCGCGGTCCTGAGTTGTTTATTAAAAATATTCTCGATACAAATATGACGCCATCTGACTAAGGTTTTTGTATATTTTTTTTTAACTAAGGGACTTGCTGGGAAGGTTAGTCAATCGAATTTCTCGTGTGATCAGTTTACAGCAGGCTGGGCTTGTAGGTGAGTTTGCCGTTACGACAAAAATATTATAAGGTATGTTGCTTACACAAAACGGACAATAAATTGTCCATGTTTCTTCATTTTGTTTACTTGATTACTTGATTATCATAATGGGAAAAAGAAATTATATGCAAAGATGCGGATCAGCCTAATGTAAGCTGGCTTCAAAACAACAATTAAAGGTCTAATTCTATACAAAAACATATTTCTTCTGTATACTCCTGTTTACGTCAAAAGTACAGCAACTATAACAAAATATCAGAAAACGTCACATGTGACGAAGTAACTCCTCAGTCATGTTTCCATCAATTCAAATCAGTTTATAACAAACTATTGTATTTTGTTGAAAACATTGTAGAAAAGCTAAGTCTGTCAATGAACATAATTAAACGGTCTAAAGATTTGCTCATTTCTAGATCATTCTACTGTAAAATGTAGAAAGTTTTGCCATGAAAAATATGTAGAACTGACCAAGTTCATATATTGCAATTTGAAACCCCAAAAAATCCAAGCTGACCAAAAGATAAAAAGATGATACCAAAGGGATGAAGGGGGAGAGGGCAATGAAAAAGTAAAAGAAATGCAGAAATCCCGACGTCAAAAGTATTTTTTTTTTCATCCAATTACAAAATGTTTAAAACAAATAATTTCATCAACTTATATTGCGCATTACTACATTTGTACAATTCAAATATCAAACTTTTATTCGTATAAAGCTAAAATACGAAAAGACCCAACAACAGCCAAGAAACGTAACACAGAAAAGTAATAACAAAATCACGAACCTCAACAAGAAATTTGTACTCAAGTGTTAATAATGAGTCAACAGTTCGTGCTTCATGAGTACAGTTACTCAAAATGGATTCTGACAATTAAGAGTCGATGATATTTCATACATAGGAGATTCATAGGTGTCTCGTGTTCAACATTGTGACATTACCATAACAATTTTCTAACCCTAAATATCCAATTTTTTAATTTAAATTGAAAATGCCAAGTTACTCAAGACAATCGATTAAAAAACATCTTGACCAATAGAAAAAACACACTAATTGGAAAATAAATTGGCACAAACACAACGAACAAAAAAAGAAAAAGAAAGCAACACGATCACAATAAAAAAAGTTAAAGTGGACTCAGGTGCTTCGGAAGGGTATTCAATCAGTCAGTCTTGCTCAAATAGTGAAACCCATCGTGTTGATCATGGAAGTAAAATCCCGAGAATAAAATCTCTTTCGGTGATGTGATAAATGATGAAGAAAAGCTACATTAAAATCAAAATAAGTTGTTCACCTATGGCACAGATGCTGATGGAAAGTTTCTTCATAAAATTGAAAGGTGCAAAACCGCAATGGTAAAACCGTGTGCTATCAAGTTTTGTTCCTTTCAAAAATAAAATATAGAATTTTTGCATTGTCAAACTCGCTTACATGTAAAATTGATGAAAACAATGATTTGTAATTAAGAAAAAATAATTAATCAGATAAAAAAAAAACAAACACGGTGTACGTTGTCAAATAAATTTGACAATGTTCTTTCATTTCCTATGAAAACTGAAGGAGATTTTATGTTCAAAATTCTTCCCGCATGTAGGAATAATATAGCCGATATTTTCAAAGTGAAGCAATAAGAATCAAGCTGATAATATGTGGAGATGCACAAATACTCATGCTTTTTAAAAACTCAGTCGTTTTTGTTTCATTCATACCTATGAGATATTGCGTGAGTACATTTATGTGACGGGTAGACAGACTGAAAGACAGGCGTACGGATGGACAGACTAGACAAAAATATCATGCCTCCTAACGTTTATGTATGTGTGTGAAAAAATTGCATTTTACTTAGAAAATGTTAAAGTCTTGCAAGAGAAATCGATTGCAACTGTAAGCAAATTGCAACATGAGAAATGAAACCAGTTGAATACATTCTTATACAGAGTATATCCGAAAATGTAGTGATTTTTTTATGGACTCCTTAAAGTACATATGCACACCCTATCATTCGAGTCAAAAGCTTTTATACAGATCCCATACTTTCCCATAAACGTGTTTCCTTGCTTCAAATGCCTGATATTATAATTATACCCCACGCAACGAGTGCGGAGGTTAAAATGTTTTTGACCCGTGCGTCCGTCTGTCCGTCCGTCCGTCTGTCAGTCTGTCAGTCCGCCAGTCCGTCAGTCCTGTTTCTTGTCATCGCAACTCCTCTCAAACCACACAACAAAATTTCACGAAACCTTTTTAGATAATAAGGACATACTATGTAGTTGTGCATATCGACAGAAAATTACGATTCAATTCTTTTTCTAGGAGTTACGCCCCTTTGAACTTATTTAATTTAATGTACTACTGCAACAGTTTGTCATCGCAACTCCTCTCAAACCACACAACAGAATTTCATGAAACCTTTTCAGATAATAAGGACATACTACGTAGATGTGCATATCGACAGGAAATTACGATTCAATTTTTATCCAGGAGTTACGCCCCTTTGAACTTATTTGCCCAATATACTACTGCAACCTTTTGTCATCGCAACTCCTCTCAAACCACACAACAGAATTTCATGAAACCTTTTCAGATAATAGGGACATACTACGTAGATGTGCATATCGACAGGAAATTACGATTCAATTTTTTTTTCCAGGAGTTACGCCCCTTTGAACTTATTTGCCCAATATACTACTGCAACCTTTTGTCATCGCAACTCCTCTCAAACCACACAACAGAATTTCGTGAAACCTTTTCAGATAATAAGGACATACTACGTAGATGTGCATATCGACAGGAAATTACGATTCAATTTTTTTTCTCCAGGAGTTACGCCCCTTTGAACTTATTTGCCCAATATACTACTGCAACCTTTTGTCATCGCAACTCCTCTCAAACCACACAACAGAATTTCATGAAACTGTGTAGATAATAAGGACATAATATGTAGATGTGCATATTGACAGAAAATTATGATTCAATTTTTTTTCTGATACAATTTTTTTTTCTTACACTTATTTTATTTCTCCAATGACAATGTGGGGACGTGGGGTATGTGAGCGCGCTCACTAAGGTTCTTTCATACATAAATGTTTCAATATTTGATCTGCTACCAAACTGAATCTTTTAAATTTACATGAGTAATATGCATATATGTTTAAATAAAGTCATAATCATCTATTAAGATCAGAGCACCTTTAAAGTGTCGTAGCTGGACCCTTGTTTCAATTGAGGCAAAACTATTTAAAACTTAGGATTCAACGCCTCAGCGAGAAGCAATTTGAAAGTGGATGGTTCAATGGCAAATCCGGCGTCTCAAAAGAGCTTTCAGTTTTTACAGCTGCAAATAATCGATTTTTATACAGGTTTAATTGATTGACTGTTGCATGTTTAACGTAAAGGGAAGATATTTCATGCATAATCAGGACGAGTACGTCAAACTAACAATCATCAAATATATCGGTTCTCTGCAGATCAGAGTAGGTCGACCAGGATGAAGGGCAGAAATTTAGACTTCAACTGAAAAATGGAGGTCATAATGTAGACAGGGGCAGGTATTTGTCCTTGCAACTGATCACCAACGGATCCTGAAAAAGTTGTTGCAAGTGTTCTTTAACATGGCACTCTCCTTACACGAAGCATGGGATTTAGCTTCTCAATTCCGATTGGATGTGGCTGTGAATTATAAATCCATAACAACCGAACCAAACGGACGCCCCACTTAAGCAAGTATTTTACTGCTAATTGGGATAAGTCCAGGGACGGCTTTGTTTCTATACCCTAGTAAACCCTGGAGTTTATAATTCATCAAAAATAAATCCTACACGGAGGATCCCTCCAAGAATTGCTTCAATGTGTGTTTTTAAAGTGCAGGAATCGTGTCATTCAACCTACACAAAACATCCGATGTAATGGCCAATAACTTATGTTTCAAGTCAATGCGAAAATAAATGACAAAATTATGAGCACCTCTAAAATTGTTTTTGTACATTAAGTTTAAAATTATGTCTTGTTATCTTAAACGTTTTAAAAGGTGATTTGCCAAGATACATGATAATTACAAGGTAATTACTGACACTACGAAGTCTCAGACTGATTCGTATGATTATGAATAAGATGGTTATCTATTAAAACACGTCCACTTTATAAAAACGTTACAAGTAAGCGGTCAATTAAAAAAAGTTCAAGCATCATGCAACTTTTACATTTCTTACCTCTTGTTTGAATATTTTTTTACAAAGTATTATTTGCCTGTTCCTAATACAATATATTTGTATTATGTATACATTCGTCATTTTTATGAAAAACGATAAAACTAATAACTTTTAATTACTCTGGTTTTTTTTCAAGTTAATAATAAGAATCGTGTATCGTTGCTCTATTATGGACTCTCTTAAGTTACCCTTTTCTAAAAGAAATATTCAAAAATTTGGCGAGGCACTGATATTTTCTAGCTAAAAATTGTATATATGAAGAACATTTGTTGATTTTTCACGTTATGTGCAGTAGATTAGGGTCGACGTAAAAATAGATTTGCGATTAGTGTATCAGTAATTTAAAATAACCTTAAAACGTGTAATTTTCAAAAATATTTATGATTACCTGTGTAGTTAGTTCCCCAGAAATTCGTCCAAGAACACAAATTAAAACAACAAAATCGAAAATCATATCCATTTGTTCTCAATCTGTGTTTGCCGCAGCAGTCATATAAATCAAACTTTGATTTCTTCAACAAAACTTTTGCTGTAAATGTTATCTTTCACGCAGTCAAAAAACTTCATGTGTAGATGATCGTGATTAGTGCCCCAACAGAACAACTGTGTAGGTATTAGTGAATAAGTATTGAATTGTAATAGTATAGTTAATATAAATATTTTAACATCAATGACCTTCTGTTTCCGTCTCTTAGTATTTCCTATATTAATTGCCTTTTTAAAGAACTCCGCTTGTTAAAAAGTTACTGTATTGCAATCTTCAAGTCATGTAAAACCTCAGGCTAATACATAAAGTTCATCGGTACAAATTTGATATGTACACATGCTCATGTAATACTAGGAACCAGTAAAATGAATACCTAGGCACAAGCACATTCACGGTTCTACAATCTGTCGATACCTATATTTTGGCATTGCATAAGGTCATGTTTTTCTCTTACTGTTAATGACGTCTTTATACTAAATCCATTGGATGTTGAATGTGTGCTGATTGATACTTTAGTCTTAGATACATGATTTTTTTATTAGTTGTTATTGGCTTTGAACTAGCTGACAGTAACTGCGAGTACTCTCAGATCTGTACTTAAGTGTCTTTTTTGTTGTGGGGATATAGAAATACCGTGCCACGTCCGGTCTGTTTTTTTGGTACTTGTTTTTCTGCTTTGTATCGATCTGATTAGTTAAGCCCTTTTCAACTGATTTGTATAGTTTGTTCATATGCTGTGCTGTTACACCATTGTCCAAGGTTAGGGGAGGGTTGTGCGCCCGCTAACATGTTTAATCCCGCCACTTTCTGTATGTGCCTGTCCCAAGTCAGGAGCCTATGATTCAGTGATTGTCGTTTGTTGCTATATATCATATTTGTATTTCGTTCACTGTTTTTTTAACATAAATCAGGCCGTTAGTTTTCTCGTTTGAAATGTTTTACTTTTGTCCTTTCGGGGCCTTTTATAGCTGACTATGTGGTATGGGCTTTGCTTATTGTTGAAGGCCATACGGTAACCTATAATTGTTAACTTCTATGTCATTTGGTCTCTGATGGAGAGTTGTCTCATTGGCATTTATACCACATATTTTTATTTTCATATCAGTAACGTGATATTTAATTAATTTGTTGTTGATTTCTAACTAGTTTGTCAACTGAGAATTTAAGAAGGTACATGTATGCTGTAAATCATGTAAGTACCGAAACAATGTTCACTCAGCTGATGATACCATCGGGGGTCCACCAGCAGTGGTAAATACCCAGTGTTAGTAAATGTAGTAAATGCTAGTCAAACGTGTGAACAAAAACATATTTTTTGAAGAATCAAACGGTCAAATCATAACTTTCAAAGCGTTTCGCAATATCCTGATTTATGCATCGTATGTGGTTGTGTGTTATACTTCAATTAGCTGTTGTGAAAATAAAGACCAGACTAAGTGTTCTCCATAAATGTAGTGCTAAAAGGCATATAAGTATGACTAAGAAATACTCTAAATCAAAATAATATCGTTTGCCACAAGGTTGACAGTTGATATTACTTGCAATGTAAAATACGAAATTGAAAGTATGACAGAACATATTAGAGTCCTGCCGATGACGCGATCAACAAATTTCCTTTTAATATATGTCATCTAATCGTTAAACTATTTTCAAAGAAAATTCTGCAAAATTTCTAGTCAACGTGAAGGTGTTTTGAAAACCTGGAAAGTATTTCTATTTCACAAATTATCTATTGCATGACCATTTCTATCAAATGTCAGTGTCGAATTGTTATTGACTGTAAATATCAGTCCTCTTTTTATCCATGAGGTTCACAAACAAAATGTTTCTGCTTAATATGTTTAAATCTATTCGCAAAGGTATTATTTCCGAATACTGAACAAAATGTTACACCATAATTTGAGAGAGCAAAGATATAAAATACTTCAAATTCAAAGTTTGTTGGTACTTGCTGTCTTTCATCAGACCGTTTATTTACCCTTCTGGGTATTATATCTTCAATTCCATGGTATATTTTTGTCTGTCTAGAAAAAAAAACTCGATTATACCATTGGCAAATTTTGTCGTCTGTATTTAAAACATTATAAGATGTTTAAGATCCTGTAAATGTTAAAAAATAAACATTACATTTATGCAAGTACTGTTATTTGCATGGTTAGTGCAATGAATAGAGTTGTAACAACAACCAAAAACTGAAGATAAACTATTAACTTTGTTGCATGCTTAAAGCATGTCAAACGTGCAAAGATAATAGAAGAAATGTATCCCTGATAACAACAGATTATTAGATGCAGTCCTAAGTTTTTTTGTGTAACAGTAATTATTGCATTAAACAGATTGAACTTCTATTTGATTAGTAATTATTTATAAGTGTATGAGGAGGTTGGGTGGATGGTGTTTACGTCCAGTGGCAAAGACATGCATTTAAGGTAATAGGTACGTAAATGGATGATCTCGCAGAATTTTATGAAATTTTGCATACAACTAGAGCACGAGGGACTGCACATGAACATCGAAATGGTTATATATTTTAACTTTTATACTTTCTGAGATATAGCAAATAAAATATTAGGAAAATAGTAGTACAAATGTATAGAATACACGTGAATATCGTTAAAAAGTTCAGCAATTTTGACTTAAAATTAACTTTTCGCGAAATCATGTCATACGAATTTTCTTTACAAACGATATGTTATAGCTACTGAAATTTCCGTTTTATTGATATGAAATTTATAGGGGGTCACCGAAATTCGTTTTTTTAGTATGAAAAGTTGAATGTTCTGTACAGCGTAGAAAAAGCGCCGAAAAGGCAAAAATAATCGTGACGTCCTCGTTAGAAATGTTATTCTCGTCGTTTTTAGATATTACAAAGAGACTTGAATGATTTATACATCAGAAACGAATTCGGTGACCCCCTATAATTTTCATATTAAAAAACGGAAATTTTAGTGGCAATAACATATCAATTTTTAAGAAAATTCGTAGGACACTTTTTTGAGAAAATGCAATTTAAAGTCAATTTTTTCAATATTGCTTTCAATATTTACGTGCATCCTATACATTTGTACTCCTTTCTACAGAATATTCAAATTGCTATAAATCCGAAAGTATAAAAGTTACTTATATAATTTTTCGATATTCATATGCAGTTTCACATGCTCAAATTGATGAAAAATTTCATAAAAAACAGTGAGATTGCCCATGTACGTACCTGTTACCAATGAGACAACTACCAACTATTCCAAAGACCTAAGGATGAAGATTTAAACAACCAAAGGTCACCGTATGGCCTTCAAGAATGTGAAAATAACATACTGCATAGTAAGTTAGTTAGAACCCTGCATGAAAAAACGTGTTATTGGCATATCACCACAACATCGTGACTTATCATAATACTATCACAACTGAAGAACTTGTCATTGCAAGTCAACATAACGCAGATTCAATTTAGCATATTGAAATTTAGAGTTCAAATGAGCATTTTGATGACCCAATTCACCACCACGCTGTCTTAACTTACATTTTAAGCTTCAGCATAACGTTTTGTAAATCTCTAATATATGACAGCTGAGGCTTTCCATAAGAAACAATTAAAAAGATGAAACCGTAAACGAAAAACAAAATTTAATATGACGAACTAGATATGGCAAACCGTTTTTATATTTATCAAATTTCGAGTTTTCTGATCAATTTAATCAGATATCAAATAAAGTATATAACACTGTGTATCATCGCCACCGGAAATTGGGTACTAACGAAGCGGAGAGAAATGGAAAAAAAAAGTAAACAAGTTAAGAAATCATTCAATTTAAAGCATTTCTACTGATTTGACGAGGGTACCGCTTAAGAAATGATTTTCTGATATATAATTCTTTAAATTATTAGGCCGATAAGTACAAAATTAAGGCAATATTTTGTGTTATACTCCAATACTTGCCACTTAGTACCTGAAAATTTCGAGGTCGATTGTCCTCTGTCGCCCCATTTGCAAGATTTTCAACTGTTTTTCATTATTTTTCCAGACACGTTTTTAGATTATGATAGTGTGACATCATATTGACTGAAATCTGCTGTCATAAAGATGTTTTTAAAGAATATGGACCAAAACATTGTTTGGTTATTGTACGGCGAATTGCAGGACGTTGTACGGCGAATTGCAAAATAACAACTTTCGTCTGCACGGCGTCTTGCAATATATTGTAATTTAAAGATGAAATTAATCACTGTTTAGATAATATCAAGTGACGATATTTTGGCTGTATCAAAGTTTAACTGGCTTACAAATATACACAATAAACTACTTATCAATTATTATAAAATTTCGTTCAGAAGTCGTCGTTGCGTCTATTTGACTTTGTGTTTTTAAAGACAAAAAGGTGTTTTTTTTCCAACCATATTATCCTAAATACATTCATATATCGTTATAATACTAACGACTGTTGTCTTGTTTGTTTTCAGTGTGAAATTTTGTAAGTTCAATAAAAAAAACCCGACCATTCATCTTTTGTTGGTGCTGGGTTTTTTTTAAATATAAACAGTGGAGATGTTGTATGATTGCAAATAAGATAACTATCCACCAGGGTCAAATAAAGTGTATGTAAGCAATTATATGCTATCGTTTGGCCTTCAACAACGAAAAATCGTACCTTATAGTCGGCTATAAAAAGCCCCGACATGAAAATTGTGGAAGGATTCAACAAGAAAACTAACGGCCTAACTCATAACAAAACAATTTACGAAAAATAACAAATATGATAGAGATGAACCAACGACAAACTACAGGCTCGTGACTTCGGACAGACACATAAAGAATGTGCTGGGTTAAATAGATATAGGAAGATGTGGTATGAGTGCCAATGAGAATACTCTCCATCCAAGTCACAATTTATAAAAGTAAACCATTATAGGTCAAGGTACGGTCTTCAACATTGTTTATTGTTTATTTTTTAAATTTCTGAAAGAATAATTTGTTAAAAGAAAAGTGAAGAAAATACTTTGTTTTCATTGAAAATTAGGAGAAATAAATCATGAATTGTGTTTCGAATTAATTTTCTTGTTTCTTATTGAAAATAAGATTGTATTTTTTTTTTAGTTTAAGTAAATTCAATCAATCTTTTTATTTACAGGGAAAAAAATAAAAGACTGTTGCTAAGGCTGTTTGGCCTAAACTTAAATGAGTA